ATATATATATGAAATTTCTTTTTTCAGGTAAAGTGGAAAAACTGTCTCCTGAACTACTTGCACTTGGTGAACAACTAATATATTCGTCAAAAACAAGACGAGATTTGGAAGATTGGGGTTGGAACAGGTGGCTTTAATATATATGTTTTAAACTTGATCACTTAATGCCATTCTCTGATTACAGAATTATCCGGTGATTTTATCTAATTGATGCTCATATCATAAGTTCGTGTTCTATATTATTGATTTGGGTTACGTCAAAAAGTGAAAAATCGTCCTTGAGGCACTCAAAATATTGGAGTATGCTGTTGATAGTTGTTCCAAAGATGGTTCATGTTTAAGCTGTTCACAGTGAATTTAATTCAGGCGATCCTTATGTTTTTACATTTCTGTTTCAAAATCTGTGTTTTGCTTATGGCTTAGCATTTTAAGGTATACGAACAATGATGAGGGACTTCCTGAGTGGTTTGTAGAAGACGAGAAAAAGCATTTCAGAAAGGAACTTCCAGTTTCGAAAGTAGGTTTTAAAAAAAGAAAAAAAAATGGGACGGAATTTTTTGTTTCTGACAGCTGTTCACAAAATACAAAAGGATCTAAGGGATTCATCATAATTCATACATTTTTTTAATGTCAAATTCAGGATCGAGTGGAATTTTATAAAAATCGTATGCGTGATATTAACGCACGGACAATCAAAAAAGTTGCTGAAGCAAAAGCACGCAAGAAAAAACGACGGGACCGGAAACTGCAAATGGCAAAGAAAAGAGCGGAAGGTATCATTGAAAGTGAAAATATGGAGCAAGCGGAAAAAGTTCGCGAAATTCGCAAGTAAACTCAGCACTCATTACTCTTTGAGTTTGAAATGCTTTTCATTCCTCGTTATCAAAAAAAAAAATGCAATAAGAATACATTAGTAAAGCGTTGATGGTTATTTTCTTCCAAAAAATTAATCAAGAGCTAGAATTTAAACCTGTGTTTTGAAGGTTATACCGTAAGACAGCCTCATCGATAAAGGAAAAGAAAAAGGTAACCTATGCAGTAATGACGAAAGGTAAACGAGGAAGTTTGGCCAGGCCAAAGGGACCATATAAAGTAAGTCGTTGCCGAAGGCTAATAATTTATTGTGAGATCATGGTAAGAGGTTGTCTTTTTAAATGATAAAGGTTTCAACAGATTTTGTCATTCTAGTATAGGAATGGTTCATTTAATGTAAGCCATCATTTTGAATAATTTTACAGTTAAGGAAGGATTTCATTTGTTATTTCGTGGAGTGAACGAAATAGTGGACAAGTAAATTTTCATTCAAGGTAGTGGATGCTCGATTGAAGAAAGACAGCTATCGTCAAAAACAAATGAACCAGAAGAAGGGACGTAAAGCCGGTGGTAGAGGTGGTGGACGTCGCAATAGAAGACCCAACTGATTAGAATTTTTTTGGATTATTTGTTATCTTGTTATATCCTTGCTAATGTTTCCATTAAAGATCAGTAAATGGATGCAATAAAATCGGTGATAAATTTCCTGGTTAAAAAGTTGACCATTTCAGGTGTTCATAGGTGTTATTGTTCGTATTATCTTACACAGATTCACTTCATCTAATTTTATTTCCTCCCCTATTAAATCAAACGCAATATTACATGGTATTGGCGGAGATTGAAGTTCATTTAATAAACCACGGTTATATTCGAATTTATGTTATTGAAGGAAAGAAGTTAGTAATGGTATTTATCAAGCTTATTGTTATCTTGTTGCCGAGAAATCCCCGTCTGGTCGTTTGCTCCGGTTTTTGTGACAAGCTAATAAAACATGTTCTAGGCGTTGCCATGTAATACCAGTGAACAGGAATTCAAAATAATGGTGTCATCGAAATTCCGCACATTATTTACCAGGAACTGAACTTTGGGAACATTCTATATGTTAATTTTATTATTTATCCAAAATAATTTTTTTCTTTCTTTTTCTCTTTACTAAGCATTTTTTCTTTTTTAAACAATAAAGTTTAAAAGTTCCCGTTTTTCCTCGTTTATTAACAACCATTAATTAAGTTAACAGAATGAACACTTATTATTTCTACTATGAGTAAATAATTTTCATTACAATGTTGTGATATTATTATTATTATTATTATTATTATTATTATTATTATTATTATTATTAT